GTTTAGTTTTCTGACACTTTGCAATTGTAATTAAGAGCCTCCCAACATGGTTTGCTGTCTGATTTCCTTCTACTTCTTTCAGTACTGATAAAGATTTACTTGGGTAAATATATTCATTCCAAAATTCAGTGTGCTTCTAGTAAGCCCCAAGGCCATCATCTTTCTATTTGGTTTAAAATAAGATGCCTGGGGCAAGGAAAAAGTTTTGGGTCATCTATATGTTTTTGGTTGGTTTAATCACCCTCAAAAAATCCTGGTTGTTATACACCATTCTGTGTCTTTTACTTAATGCTATTGTGTTGGTCACTAGCTTTTGATGTATTGCCTTTCCCTTCACCAAAATCAATTCTTGTCTCTTACCTATCTAGCAGTTTTCCCTCTCTTCCCATCCCATCCCTGGTAAACAAAAGAGAAAGTTTCCTTCCATATGTAAACCTTTCCTTGACTCTTTATAATAATGTGCTAATTGAATATTTGTCTTGTGATTGACTTATTTCACTCAGCATAATGTCATCCAAGTTCATCCATGTTATGAGGTATTTTGCAGATTCTACATTATTCTTTAGTATTGCATAGTATTCCATTGTGTATATGTGCTAAGTTTGGTTATCCATTCCTCCATTGATGGAAACTTAGGCTGTACACAAGAGGTACAGACAATAAAGATAAACACTCTTACTCACACAATACTGCATTATCAGTAATAACAAACATTAATCTGTGGGTGGATACATAGGTCAAAAAAAAAAAAAAAAAAAAAAACCTCATTGCCATTGTGTCGATTCCGACATACAGCCACCCTCTTTCAGTTTCTGAAGCAGCAAATATTTACAGAAATAGATTTCCCAGTCTTCCTTCCATGGAGTGGCTGGTGGATTTGAACCACCAACTTTCTGGTTAGCAGTCAAATGCCTTAGTCACTATGCCACTGGAGCTCCTTACATAAGTAAATAGACTAAATAATAGGATATGTCTAGGCAAAAGGGAATATACCCATGGCCATATATAACTTTGGCAGATGATATTTCTACATAGGTATTTCAACATGGTTTAAGAATGTCTGTGTATAGGCACACTATGCAACACTGAAGAATAATGTAGGATCTGCAAAACACCGCGTAACATGGATGAATTTGGAGGACATTATGCTGAGTGAAATAAGTCAATCACGGAAGGCCAACTATAGTATTAGCTCATTATTGTAAAAAGTCAAGGAAAGGTTTTTATATAGAAGGAAACTTCCTTTGTTGGTACCAGGGGTGGGAGGTTATATGGAAGGAAATTTTCTTTGTTGGACCAAGGGTGGGAAGAGAGGGAACATGGCAACAACAACAACAAAAAATTCATTGACCCCTGTCACTTTAGTTTTGTATATTTCACTGTACATAAATTATATTTCAATAAAATATATTTTTAAAAAAGAATGTCCATGTATATAATAAAGGTAACAGGAAGCAAATTTATGAGAACTTCTTAGCACCAGCCAACCACCCTTAGGGAGCAAGTTTTGGGGCCTGTAGGCTCAGGACCATGGTCATGGGGGACATCACGTTCAATTGTTCTACATCCTAGTTTGATGAGTAGTGACTGGGGTCTTAAAAGCTTGCAAGCAGCCAGCTAAAGTGCAAAAAAATGGCTTATCCTCATCCAGAACAAAGAAGAATGAAGGAAACCAAAGACACATGGGAACAATTAGTCCAAGGGACTAGTGGACCACGTGAACCTCAGCCTGTAGGACCCTGAAACCAGGGTAGATCATGCCTGGCTATCACTGTCAATAACTTGATAAGGAATCACTGTAGGAGATTCTGAATAGAGCAGGAGAAAAATGTGGAACAAAACTCAAAATCATAAAAAAAAAAAAAAAAAAGACCAGGCTCACTGGTCTGATAGAGACTGCTGAAACCCCCAAGACTGTGGCCCCTAGTCACTCCTTGGGCCCAGAATTGAACTCACCCCTGAGGCTTCCACCCAAACTACAGACAGGCATGTACTGTGTGATAGTTCAAGTTGTGTGTCAACTTAGCTGGGCCTGGTTGAGTGGCTGGGCAGGTGGTGGTAGTTATTCCTCATAATGAGACTGACAATCAACTCCATGATGGGATCTACCATAAACAGCTGAGTAGCTGCTTTAGGGGGAAAGTCAGCTTCCCATATACAAGAAGCAGCTTTGGGAATGGTCTCTAGTTTATGGCACGTTTGACCCCTGCATGTAGCCATGTCTTTGTTCAGCAGCTTTCCATGCTCTGCCAATCTTGGGACTTTTAATGGACTTGAATTGATGGCCTGCCATGTGGTTTGGTAATATTGGGACTGTGCCTTGTTACTTGTCAACCTTGGGTTTGTCAGCTTCAGCAGCCAGCAGCTGAGTGAAGAAAAGCCTCAGCTTCAGTGGGCCGGGAGCAGGAGGCAGAGCTGAAGCCCAAGGTTGAGGGGCTTTCACCCAGCCCCTAGAGCCTGGCACTCTGAACTCAGACCTAGAGCCTCCAAATTGTAAAAATAAACTGCTGTTTGTTAAAGCCATTCTATTTGTGCTATTTCTTGTCAGAGTGGCACTAGGTAACCAGAACATATGGGGAACATTTGTACCAAGTAGGTACAGTCCTTAGAACAATCAACCATGGGAGAATAGTATTTGCACAGGGAGATAGCTCAGAGGGCAGGAATGTATGGAAAAGTAGGGCACAGGAAAAATGTAACCACAGGGAGGAAGTGAGAAGAGAGCTGTTACATTATGGAAATTAGAATCCATGCCATGAGACAAAAGTTTATGAACTGTAGCATGAAAAATGGATTTGCTCTGGAAACTTTCACTCAAATCACAGTAAAAAAAAAAAAAAATCTGACCTATGATATCAATCAGATGTAGCATCATTGCCTAGGGTCTTTTCCTTTTTTTTCCCCCTTTATCTGTATTGATAATTTAATGGGAAGTTGAGAGAGAGTGTTTCAGATACTGTTAACTAAGATTTCTTTAAAGAGGAAATCTGTTTCAAATCTCAGAAAGAAAACTGTGATTGCGATATGGTCTGCGAATTAGAAAGAACTGTATTAGAGAGAGAAATTACTAATCAACAGATGAGAGATGAGACCAAATTAGGCAACCTGACTTATGGAGCTATACCATAGGTCTATAGATCTACTGTTCGAAATGGGAAAAATAGGAGAAGACAAATTGTGGAGCGAGAGTGGAAGACTGAATTTTGATGCATGTTAGAATGTCATGTTAGGCTTGAGTTGGCTTTAGCCATTCAAGTGGCGAAATCAAAGAGCTGTATATATGGATTTAATATTTATGAGATTTATCTGAAATAAAGATACTTTAAAGTAAGAAAATAAGTAAATAAAAGGTGATGTCTGTAGAAAGCACATAACACTGAAAACATGTAATAATAAACATTATCTTTGAAGAAATAATCAAACTAATTTTCTTCCTGATGCCTACTTAATGTGATCAAACTAGATAATAGAAACTGTATAAAAATTGGCAGCATTAATGAGAATGGTCTTGGATGGTTTCTAAAGGAATAAAAATATACTCTAAAGAAGTTTAAAATATATTTTGAGTAATGGCTTCATTTTTAGAGTAAATATTATTTCCTTAATGGATTAATTTGAATCATAAAACCCAATATTATGATTAAGAACTAATTATTTGCTAAAAATAAGTCTCATTATTTACATCTAATGCACTACATATGCAATATTTAAACAAAATTTTTATAACCATAAACCATAAAAATTTCACATAAAGATATTTATGTATAGATATTTCTCACAATTGGATTATATATTAATATGGAATTATATTATTATTAATCAAAGTAGAAGTATAAGGGGTATAGTTGTTAATATCATAAGCTTTGCCATCATATTTTCTCTGACTGATTCCACACTTCATCTTCTTCAAGTGTTATGATCTTGGAGAATTTACCCAAGATCAATTACAGGCTAAATTAATCATGGTAATAGAAATCAGAACAATGGCTATTATTGGAGGGGCATTGGCAAGGATGGTGAGTTAGGAAGTCTTTTGACTTGCTAATAATGGTCTATCAATTGACCTTACAAGTGGTTACATGGATACATACAGAAGAAAAACTTCACTGAGCTGTACTCAAGGTTAACTCACTGAATATATGTTTAATCTCAGCTAAAAATTTTTAATTCCTAGCTTTAGAAACTCAAGATCTTACAAAAGAATTCTGTTCCTGCACAGCATAATGTCAGACTTCCATAACTGTACCTCCCCAACTTTGCTCCTGATGGGAGTCCCTGGACTTGAATGGGCCCATGTCTGGATCTCCATCCCCTTCTGCTGCCTCTATTTAACTGCCCTTTCTGGGAATACCTTGATCCTATTTTTAGTCTTCACTGAGCCCAGCCTTCATGAACCCATGTACTATTTCCTCTCCATGTTGTCTACCACTGACATTGGCTTATGCATCTCTACCTTGGTGACAACACTGGGAATATTCTGGCTCAATGCCCGAGAAATCAGCTTCAATGCTTGCTTATCCCAGATGTTCTTCATTCACCTCTTCACTTTCATGGAATCTTCAGTGCTCCTGGCTATGGCCTTTGACCGGTTTGTAGCCATTTCTAACCCTTTGCAGTATGCTACCATCTTAACTCATGCAAGGATTGCACAGATTGGTGTGGGAGTCATTACAAGGGGGACTGTGATTCTGACACCATTAGTCCTGCTACTTAGGCATCTATCATTCTGCTACAGCCACACGCTCCACCATTCCTACTGCTTTCACCCCGATGTGATGAAGCTCTCATGTTCAGACACAAAGATAAATAGTGCATTTGGACTAACTGCAATTATCTCTACTGCTGGAGTGGACTCCATCTTTATCGTGCTCTCTTATGTCCTGATCATTCGATCAGTTCTCAGCATTGCATCCCCAGAGGAAAGGAAAAAGGCTTTCAGCACCTGCATCTCTCATATCACTGCTGTGGCCATATTCTACATCCCTTTGATCAGTCTTTCTTTTGTTCACAGGTTTGGTAAACGTGCTCCAGCCTATGTGCCCACTCTCATTGCTAATATATACTTGCTGATCCCTCCTGTGATGAACCCTATCATCTATAGCGTGAAAACAAAGCAAATTCAAAAAGCCATGCTTAAACTTGTATATTCCAAAGGAATTCATATTTGATAATTACTGTACCCACCAAGCCTTTTATTTAAATGACAGTGAAAATTTATCATGTAGTTTTAGAGTTGGATAGAACTAGGCATCATCTAATTCAAACATCTCAACACCACAGTTTTCTAAGGCAGTATTTCCTTTTCTACCACCAAAACACCAAAATCCAGAATCTCACTATCTCTCAGCTACCCTATCCCAGTATCTGACTAACTATTCACTCTTTATGCTGTTTCTACTCAAAGTGATTAATTTTTAATTACTTTTCAGAATGTCCAACTCTAATAAAATTTAAAATAAATGAATAAACATCTCTTCCATGTTTATTTCTCATACACTGACTAAATGAAGTAACAGCTCCTGTTAAAGTTAAAGTTAAAGTTTGCGTTCAGTTGTACTTTAATATCCCTTTGTCCCTTCATACACTCTGCAGTCTAAGAAAAAAAAAATCTACTAACTGCTCAATACATACCTACCTTCCCTATTGCTAGGTTTTGTTGGTGACTCCACTTCATCCTTGACACTCACTTCTCACCTTGAAATTCTACCTTTGTCAAGGCTCATACTTAATTATCTTCTTTATTAAACTTTCCATGATTAATTCAAAGAAATTTGGTCTTTCCTTCCCAAAATTTACCTTTCATAACATTTTGCCTATGTCTCCTTTGCCTGTATGTATGTGTGTGCTTACAGAAAGAAAGAGAGGGACGGAGAAAGAGAGAAAAAGAAAGAAAGATGGTCAGTGATTATTATAGCTTCCATAAGGCTGTAATTTCCCTAAAGATAAAAGTGCGTTTTCTTTGATGCCTCTGCAATACACATAGCAGACAATCAACAGATAGTGGTTGAATTGAACTGAGTATAATAGAATGCCAAACAGTCCATCTGAAGAATTGCAGCAATAATTCAGTCAATTCCACGGTTTGGCACGTCTAACATAAGAAATTTCTCTTATGCAGACCCTACAGTTTTCTACTTATATTATCTAGCAATCAATCATAGTTCTGACTTTTCAAAACCATGTAGTTGAAGGGCTATTTTGGAATCTGAGATCACAATCTCTAGAACTCATCTCAGGTTAATAGAAGGTGCCCAATTTGACTAAAAATAATTTAATCTATGACAAGTGGATTAACGAGTGGATTGACTAGTGGACACTTGATGGGATCAAGCATGTCAGCGATTGCGAGGATGACATAGGACTGGGCTGTGTCTCATTCTGTTGTGTACAGTGTGGCTATGAATGGAACCCAACTCCACAGCACCTACCAACAAAAACAACAGCTGTTAATTAGATAATGTTTTTAAATGTCCCCAGTTCCAAAGACAGAAAATAATGAACCCTTCCCACCTGCTCATTCTCTGCTTATTCCTGCATCCAATTAATCTGTACTTACTGTTTATTGTAATATCAAAATATCTCTTCATCCCTTCTTCCAGAACTTAGTCTAGGACATCAAAATTTTTAGACTAGATCAGATTAGCAGTTTCCTTATAGGTTTCTTTCACTCTTTTCTGTTTTTCTTTGTAGCATCAAAAATAACTTTTGAAAGATTTTGAGTCAAATTTTAATCATATAGGTAAATATAGTGTCATCAGATAAAGATACTACAAAAAAAAGCCAGAGTCCCCCACTCCCAGTCTCTCCACTATCTCCATAGTTCACCACCACAGAAAATTAATTTTTTTCTTTCCTTTGTCTATGCATTTATATACATAGGTGTAGAGAAAATAAAATATGAAATATTTCTTATCATTTGTATCTCAGAGGGTAACAGTTTCCTAGGATCACTTTGCCTGTTATTTCAAGAACTACTTCAAAACCTGCTAGAAAAAAATTAGTTAGCCAGAATTCCTGCAGATCTCATTGTCCTTTCATGCTTCCCATTTAACACCTCTCTAGATTATGGTTCCAAGATCCCTCTTTACCTCTGTGTATAACATCTATTTGATAAACTAGCTCTGGTTTATCAATATATAGATATCACGTGTATTTAGAAATCCCATACTTTGTTATATCTAAAGAATTGCTTCTCCAGACTGTACTCATATGCTCATAATCACTAAATACCCTACTGAAATTGCTACAGTTTATTACCAAGACCAATCCCCTGGAATGTGGGCAAACTACTAATTCACCTCAATTTAGCATATGAAGATTACTTATCAAGATCCTAAGTTTTGTAGCTACAAGAATAGAAGGAATAAGACCAAGAACATGGCAGTGCCAAATTATATTTTCATTCATCTTCCAATAGCAAATGTGTAGTAAGCATCTACTCTAAACTAGGTACAGGGACAGATAATGAGAATGTAAACATGAACAAGATTAGCTTCTTGTCTTAAGTCAGCTTAATATCTAGTGAGAAATAAAGTTTTCAAATGTATAATTTCATTAAAATATGTGTTATAGAGATGCCCTCTAACAAGAAAACTTAGCAAAGAACACAAACATTAAAATATTCAAATTACAAAAACCTACCACTGTCTGGACAGGCTGAATGATTAGGTATATGTATGCAGAGGGGAGTGTACCCATGACCATGCATAGAATTGGCAAATAATGTTTCTATAAGTGTATTAGTATGTTCTGCAAGAATTTCCAGGTATATAGTAGAGCTGACAAGGGAAAAGTTTGTACTCACTTCTTGGCCACAGCCAGCTACCCAGAGGGAGCGAGTAGTTGGATCTGTGGACTTGGGACCATGGTTGCAAGTTCTACACAAAAAACATTGTTCCACATCCTACTTTGACAAATAGTGACTGAGATCTTAAAAGCTTGCAAGTGACCATCTAGATGCAACAATGGGTCTCTCCTTGTCCAGAGCAAAGAATAACGAAGAAAACCAAAGACACATGGAAGCAATTAGACCAAGGGACTGCTACACCATGCGATCCTCAGCTATGTCTATGAGACCAGAAGAACTAGATGGTGCCCAGCTACCACTGTCAACCACTTGGAGGGGGATCTATGTAGGAGATCCTAGATAGAGTGGGAGAAAAATGTGGAAAAAAACCTCAAAATTACAAAAGAAAAAGGGGAGGGGTACCAGGTTTACGGTCTGATAGAGCCTGGTGAAATCTGAGAGACTCTTGCCCCTAGCTACCTGAAAGTGAACCCACTCCTGTAGCTTCCAGCCAACCAAAAGACAGGCATATGAGCTGAACATTTACATTAGGGTAGATACACTCTTCGGAGAGATCAATCTTGGGAGAATAGAAGGCCTGTGTATGCACAGGGAGACAGTTCAGGGGGCAGGAGTACATGGGGGAAAGGACACAGGGAAGAGGTAACCATGGGGAGGAAGTGGGAAGAGAGCTGTTGTATTGTGGAAAATTGCAGTCAATGTCATGAGACAAAGTGTATGTGAACTGCTGTATGAAAAATGAATTTTCTCTGTAAACTTCCACCCAAGTCACAATAAAAATTTAAAAAAAAAAAAAAAAAAAAAAACCTACCACTATCAAGCACTTGGAAAGGGATCAGTGTAGGAGATCATGGATGGAGTGGGAGAAAAATGTGGAACAGAACTCAAAATTATAAAAAAAAAAAAAAAATCAACCAGGCTTACTGGTCTGATACAGACTGATAAAACCCCAAAACTATGGCCCCTAGTTACATTTTGGGCCTGGAATTGAATTCACTCCCATGGCTTCCAGTCAAACAATAGATGGGCATACAAGGTATAAATTTATGCCAGGTAAATTGCACTACATGGGGCAATCAACCATGGGTGATCAAAAGAATAGCATTTGTGCAGGGAGACAGCTCACAGGGCAGGAATGCATAGGAAAGAAGGACTCAGGGAAAGGATAAGCACAGGGAAGAAGTGGGAAGAGAGCTGTTATATTGTGGGGGTTGCAATCAGTGTCACAAAACAAAATGTGTATGAACTGTTGAATGGAAAAAGAATTTGCTGTATAAACTTTCACAGAATCAGAATTTTAAAAAGAAAAAAAAAGTTTAAGTAGCAATTATCTACTTTCTCTTCACCATGATGTAAAATCATAAACTACTGGACATAGGTCTAACTATGAGGGAAAAAAACTATAATGATAGAAGTCACTTAAAATGAGAAATGATATTATTATACAGAATGATAATACAAGTCAATGGGAAAATAAGATTCATTAAATAAAACTTGAATTACATTTGAATTTTGAAGAAGGTGTCTATTTCTGTGAAGTGTTTTCCAAAGGATGATTCGTAGGCTGGTTACCTAAGAATGATGGTCCAGAGCCGGATACGTAATAATTGCCTGAAGATCTTGTTTAAAATGCAGATTCCCCTGCCTTGCTCCCAGATTTTCTCATTTTACTAGTTCTGGAGTAAAACCTGTTGTTTTATTGGTTGCTGTTGAGTTGATTCCAACTCATGGAGAGCCCATGTGTTACAGAATAGAACTATTCTAGGATTTTCTTGGCTGTAATCTTAATGGAAGCAGATTGGTGGGTCTCTTTTCCATGGTACTACTGGGTGACTTAGAACTGCCAACCTTTAATTAGCAGTCAAGTCTAAATCGTTTGTGCTACCCAGGAATGGGCTCTCAGAATCTGTATTTACTGATACTCAATTACTTTAGGGACTCACTGATGTAAGGCAATATGCAATTGTATATTTATCTGCTATTTATGATCACCAATCTAAAATTTATTTTTTTCTGTCTCTGTGAGAAAAAAAAAAAAAAAATCTGTAAGTCTTTCTGAGGAAAAATTGGATCTAAAATTCCAGATTATAGGCTGACATAAATTGTCTTCTTCCCAAATTAGGTATAAAATATATATATTTATATACTGTTCATATTTGCTCAACACTTATATTTTTCTTGCCATATAATTTTGGTACCAATCATGACAGGTCAAAAATAAAACAATATCAGCAATTTCACTACATGAAACCAGATAGAAAAGCAAGAAGATTTAGGCATGCAGAGTGATTCTGTAAGCATAAATGGATAAAAACAAATACACTCGACCAAGAAGATCCCTTAGGAATACCTATCTCTGAGGAGTAAATGACTCTCCTGAAAACAGGTTCTTCATAAATATCTTCCACTATGGAAAATGAATAGGACCTCAGAATCCACCCTCCTTATCATTCTCTTCATGTAAGTACAAGGATATCAGAAAGACTGCACTAGAAATTTTGATGTGCACTCATTTGCCTTCATCAGAGTATGTATTGTGCAAGAATAAGTTATAACAGTCATGCAAACACAAAATGTTGTTGAATTGCCTTTGATTTAAGATTTTAGAAGCAGAGAAGTCCTATTGTCTTTTTCTTTTCAGGGCAACTCTTTCTTTTCTTTATAAATAATAGATATTCTTCTTAATGTGCTCAATTTTCATTCTGAAATATCCGTAAGCATTGTATTTCTGAAAAACAAAAAATTATGCAGATATATGGTCAATTTGAAATCTGCCTGGGGTTCCTTAGATAATATCTGAAAATTATTACTCATAGTGCTAGAAATGGAGAATTGGAATAGCCTGAAGACTGAATTTGAGTCATTGATGCAGAATATTGCTGTAAAAACTAATATGATAAATTTGAAAGCAAACATAGAATATGGGATATCTGAGGACATTTGCCAGAAAGTTTTAGTGTTGAACTTTAAATAGATAATTTGCCTGAAAAATAGTGATTTATCATTATCAGGGCTTGAAATTTTACTTATATTTTCTCAAAATGGGGATAATATTGCTCCATTCAGAATAACAGACTTTAATACCCGTGAAGAGGTCAAGATATTCAAGCCAGGTTGATAACCAGAAAACATATTTGAAGTTGGTTAACATCATTTAAACATCATTGGTGGCTATAAAAATGAGTTACTTAATCAAAGCATCCATAACTCAAATCCATGATCCCAGAAGGTCCCATTATACAACATTCACTAATTGAGTTTATCAATAGTCTTAAAATTTTAGTATGTAAGGAAATAATTGTTTTCTACCTCTCCTGAATATTGACAAAAGAATTTTTAAGTAGGGCAATAAAAATCAAGAAATAAAAAACAAATCCATTCAATATTAGGTGTTTGGAATCCTAATACATATGTATTTATATGACTATTTAAAGCCCAAAAAGCTGTGATTAATTGGGCTGTTTTTTGAGGAAAAATTACGTGAATGCTTGGTATTTTAGTAATCTACATGCATATGTAACACTGGAGTTCATTATTTTTTACATTATTTTACAAAGATTCCCCACCATGGAGAAACATATAGAACTTTGACAAACTTTCAATTTACATAGATGGAATACAAATCTTAGCTTTTCCACTGTGTGAAATTGTGAAAATTGTTTAATCTCTTTAATGTTTAGTTTCTTTGGCTGAAAACTGGAATCTTAGAAGTAATATGATTTTTAAATTAAATGAAATAATTTATATAAAATACATACTATGGAGTCTGACACAATACTGGGCTCTATAAATGATATATCTTAACTCCTTTGCAAAGTATTATAGCTAGTATCATCCCTGATTTACCAGTGATGAATTTGATATTTCATCAGTGGAATACTAAGTTTGGGAGCTCTGGTGGCATAGTGCCTAAGGCACTTGACTGCTAACCAGAAGGTTGGTGTTTCAAACCCACCAGCCACTCCTTGGAAGGAAGATTGGGCAATCTACTTCCGTAGTGATATTGCCTCGGAAACCCAACAAGGGCTTACTATGAGTCAGATCCGACTCAACAGTAGTGAGTTTGGGTTTTGTTTTGTTTTTGAGGTACTAAGTTTGGTTGTTTTTTGTCTGTTTGTTTTGTTTTGTTTGTTTATACTAAGTTAAATCCACTGATTCCAAAACTTCTTATGTTACTATTACTCCTTCCTTCCTCCTTTATTTGATCCCAAACCCATTGCTTGCCAACACTATCAAAAATTCAAGTCTCAATCTAGACAATTTTGCTCACTGGAAGTTTTCCTTATCCCCTAAAACGAGTTTGTTGCCCTCTCTACGTGCTTTCAGAGCTTACTAGATTCACTCTTCATGCTGTTTCATTCTCCATTTACTTGTCTCTGTCCACCAGTTGATTCTAAATATTTTGAGTCCAGGAGCTTTTATTGTGCTTGACATTTAACTTCCCACACCTGGTGCCAGTACATTCCCAGTACAATTTACTGAACGAATGAATGAATGCATCGCCCTGTTTTCAGTATTTGTGCTTAGATGAAGTGATTGCTTTGTCGTGTAGAATTGGCAGCCCACTACTGGCAAAAGAAGTGTCTAATATCAGAACTCCTTATACCCAGCTCACTCACAGCCCTGGAAGATAATAAAGTTCACTCTGAAAGGACCAATTGCTGAAGCGGATGTTGCAGTAGAATTTTCTTTAACAGTTATGTATTGACTCAACTTTAGTAACAGCACATAAAAATCAAGAATCTAGAGCAGAAATTAACCCTTGACTAGAACCACCATAGCAGGGCAGGAGTAAAATCCATTAAATTAGAAATAGTAAATGGGCTATTTTGACTTCTATAAAATTATTTTCTTACAGGCTGTATATTTTCTAATGTATGTTAAAATTCCATTGTAATACAATAAAATTTTTAAACATTCAGGTGTATGTAGCTTTTTATTAAATAATAAATGTTACTTTTAAAAACTAATATCACTTTGCTGTTTCCACTAAATTCTTGGTACTTTCAGATTAATTTGATAAAATTCTCCATCTGTATAGAGAGTACAAATGGAAGAGGGAAAGAATTTGCATAGGATCAAAGTGTACGAGAACCAAAAATACCTGGGGAAAAAGATAATAATATATTTTATTCTTTATTATGAATCAGGAAACAGGAATCATGGGGCATTGTTCAACACAGCACAGAGAAAAGAAATCAAAACTGGGGAGCAGAAAGGAAAGGATAAATTCTTATGAAAAATCTCCAATTCATTTACCTAAAGACAATGAATTTGCTGATGGTCTTATCATTTCTCATTTTAGGACATTTTATTGCAACAGAATTATCTTTCCATAGTAATCATGTCATCTCTTCCTAACATCACTTCCTCTTCTCTGATCTTTCTCCTGATGGGAGTCCCAGGACTAGAAGTTGCACATGCCTGGATTTCCATTCCCTTCTGCTGTCTTTACGTAACTGTTCTCTCAGGGAATGGCATTATCCTATTTGTCATCATCACTGAGTCGAGTCTCCATGAACCTATGTACTATTTCCTCTCTATGCTCTCAACCGCTGATCTGGGCTTGTGTATTTCAACATTAGTCACTATGCTGGGCATATTCTGGTTCAATGCAAGACAAATCAGTTTCCATGCCTGCATTGCCCAGGCATTCTTCATTGAACTATTTACTGTCATGGAATCCTCAGTGCTCCTGGCAATGGCTTTTGACCACTTCATTGCCATTTGTAACCCACTGAGATATGCAACGATCTTGACTGATTCCAGGATCATCAAAGTGTGGTTTGCCATCCTTATCAGGGGAACATGGTCCTATTGCCTCTGGCCCTACTTCTTAAGCGTCTGTCCTTCTGCCAAAATCATACGCTCCATCATTCCTACTGTTTCCATCCTGATATAATCCAGCTTTCATGTTCTGATAACAGAATCAACAGTGTTTTAGGACTCACTGCCCTCATAGTTATTGCAGGAGTGGACTCCATCTTTATTCTTCTCTCCTATGTCCTGATTATTAAGACTGTCCTAAGCATTGCTTCCCCAGAAGAGTGGCACAAGGTCTTCAGCACTTGTATTTCCCACATAGGTGCTGTTGCTATCTTCTACATACCTCTCATTAGCTTATGCTTTGTCCATCGATTTGGGAAAAGAGCCCCTCCTTATGTACACACTCTAATGGCAAACATGTATTTGCTTATTCCACCTGTGATGAATCCCATAATCTATAGTGTGAAAACAAAGCAGATTTTCAAGGCCATTCAAAAAGTCCTCTTCCCCAAGGGATCCAAAGCCTGACTCTAGCACCTACCCAACAAAACTTATTCCTTAGTTATTACTTTCAGAGTCCAGTGTTTGATCAGTTATGAACTCTTTTCTCAGTGATCTGAAAGCAAAAGAAATAGAAGACTGGGTGGAGTGGACAGGCAGGTACAATATGGTAGAAAGTTATTTTTTTTTCTTAATTGTTTTTAACTTTTTATTTAGAGAAAATAGTATATTCACATGCATTTTTTAGGAAATAATACAGAGATCCCACATACCTTCCTACAGTTCCCCTCAATGGTAACATCTCACATAAATATTATACAATATCACAAACTTACATGGATATAATCCATTGACTTATTAAGATAAGTGACCCCAGATGGTAATAAAAATCCATTTAAAAAGAGTGCTGGTAAAGGCAATTTTAATAATTAATAATTATGTAGTTATTAAAAAACAGTATAAATGCATATGTCTTCTCTTCTCTTAACAAATTTAAAATGCAATTTTAAAAAAAACATGCATATAGTTACATTGTTGGACCTATGTCACATAGAAATGTAATATATTTGACATAAGAGTAGAGAGAGAAGTGGGAGCAAAACTGTACTGGAGTAAGGAAATGACACCAGATGGTAATTCAAATCCACAGGAACAAATTAAGAGAACAAATAATGACAAATAAGAAAGTTCATGCTAAAAACTTTATAAATATAGAATTGGTCTCCTTTCTTCTCTCAGCCTCTTTTAAATACATAAAATTATATAAACTAATACTTGCAATGGGAGCTCTGGTAGCATAGTGGCTAAAGCACTTGACTGCTAACCAGAAGGCTGTCGGTTCAAACCCACCAGCCACTCCTCGGAAGGAAGGTTGGGCAATCCTACTTCCGTAGTGATACTGCCTCGGAAACCCAAGGAGGGGTCGCTATGAGTCGGGGCCGACTCGACGGCACATAACAACAACAACAACAATACTTGCAATATTATAGTGCTGAGTTTATAACATATATAGATGTAATATGTATAACATATTACATACATAGTAAAAAAAGGAAGAGGATATAAATCTATATAGGAGTAACATTTCAATGTTTCACTGTAATTAAGTTAATATAAATAAGTTAAGAAGTTAATATGAAATTATTAAAAATTATGGTAAAATATACATGATAAGTCTTGTTGTTGTTACATACCATCGAGTCAGACCCAATTCATAGTGACCCTTCCTTGGGTTTCCGAGGCAGTATCACTACGGAAGTAGATTGTCCCATCTTCCTTCCGAGGAGTGGCTGGCAGGTTTGAACTGCCAGCCTTCTGGTTAACAGTCAAGCACCTTAGGCATTAGGCTACCAGAGCTCCTATGATAAGTCTTAGACATTTAAAAAAAAAATTTGTTGTGATTTGGATGAAAGTTAACAGAGTAAATTGGTTCTCCATTCAACAATTCATATATATTTTGTTTTGTGACATAGATTGCAATCCTCACAATATAACAGCACTCTTCCCACTTTCTCCCCATGTTTACTGTTTCCATTCATCCTTCTTTCCTATCCTTTCCTGACTCTGAGCTTTATCCCTGGGCAAATGTTGCCCTTTTAATCTCATATGATTTGTCGTTCTAGGTAGTGCATACCTGCCTGGTGTTATTGTCACATTATAGGCCTCTTTATTGTTTATCTGAAAGTTGAGCCAGAGGGGTGAGTTCAGTTACAGGCTTGAAGAGTATGTAAGGGTCATAGTCTCTCTGGTTCCATCAGTCTTTATCAGACCAGTGAACCTGGTCGTTTTTATTATCTTGAGTTTTGTTCCACATTTTTCTCCCATTCTATCCAGGATCTCCTAGGGGATCCTTCTCAGAGCAGTCAGCAGTAGTAGCCAGGCACCATCTAGTACTTCACATCTCTGGGTGGTGGAAGCTGGAGTGGGTTTGTGTGGTCCTTGAATCCTTCGGACTAATTATTTTCATGCATCTTTGATTTTCTTTGCTCTTCTTTGCCATGGATGATAAGAGATCAGTAGTTACATCATAGATGGCCCTCACAAACTTTTAAGACTCCAGTTACTACTCAGCTACTCTCCAAATTTGGTTGTAGAACATTGTCTTTGTGGACTATGTGGTATGTCAGTTGGCTTTGGTGTCCCCCAAGACTATGATTCTGAGCTTCTAGGATATTTGCAGCATATATAAATATTGTGTTAGGCTGGGTTCTCTGCAGAAGCAAAACCAGTAAAGCTTAGAGAGAGAGAAATTTATCTTAGGAAAATGGCTCACACACTTATAGAGGCTGACAAGTCCCAAGTTCTTGGATCAAACTTCAAGCTGGAGGCTTTTCCCAACTCATGCAGCTGCAGGGCAAAAGCTCAAGGTTAGCAGGCAGTATACCAGCTGTTGACTCCAACAAATGACAAATCCAAGATCTCAAAGCTGAATGGTGGATTGTTCACTCACAGACAGTTGTAGGCAGCACAACAGGATCCCGATCCACAGAAGAGTGTCTCTTTTCCCAGGATGTCCATAAAAGTATTGGAAGCAGGCCACACCCCTAGGGAAACTCCCTTTCCATGGATTGGCTGCTCAAAAACATATACATCTGATCCCATCATTGGAATAACCCACATCACAACTGCTTAAACCACACAGAATTGTGGTCCAGCCAAGCTGACACACAGCTCCAACTATCAGAAATACATATGTAGAAATATCTTCTGTTAAACCTATATTTATTCATGAGTGTAGTCCCATTTGCTTTTCCCACCAAGTTCAGCTTATGTGCCTATTTATGTATGCACATTATTGTTATTGCAAATTTTATATGTAATTGTATTCACCTTTATTGCCTTTAACTCTTGTGTTCCTTCCAATGTCTTCCTTTGCCTTGATCATTTTGTGCTCACCTCTCCCATGTCATTATTGCCCTTCCTTTCATCCAAATAAATATCTCTCTACCTTCTAATTAGTGATTTACCCTCCTTTCCCTCCCACCTCTGGTAATTTTCAAAGAATTTTCCTTTCTATGAATAAATCTTTTCTTGACTTTTTATAGTAGTTGTCTCATGCAATATTAGCCCTTTTGTTATTGACTAATTTCATTGTGTATGTACCATAGTTTGTTTATCCATTCATCCATTGACAGGCATTTAGGTTGTTTCCACTTCTTTGCTATTATAATAATGCTGATATGAACACAGGTGTGCATATATCTGTTTATGTCACTACTCTTATTTCTCTAGGATATATACTTAGTGGTGGAATTGCTGGATCATATGACATTCCAATTTCCAACATTTTAAGCAAACACCGTATCATTTTCCACAGTGGTTACACCATTTTACAACCAGTTTGTGAGAGTTCCAGACTCTCCACACCCTTGTTAGCATTTGCTACTTTCTGTTTTTTTAATTTTGTATTACTACTGGGGTGAGATCATATCTCATTGTCATTTCAATTTGCATCTTTCTAATGGCTAATGATCATGAGCATTTCATCATGTGTTTGCTGGCCACCTGAATATCTTCTTTGATGAAGTGTCTAGGTTCTTCACTGACTTTTAAATTTTATTTTTGTTGTTGTTGTTGTTGAAGTATTGAAGTTTTTAGAGATTAGTCTCTTGTCCTGTCATTGCCAGAAAATTTCTGCCAATCTGTATGTTCTCTTTTTGCATTTTTGGTGAAGTCTTTTGATGTGCAGATATGTTTAATTTTTCGGAGGTCACAGTCATCTAGTTTGTCTTCTGCTGTTTTTGTATTTTTAGATATATTTTATAATGTATTAATGCCTTAAGTTTGCCCCTACTTTTTCTTTGATGGTATATATAGTTTTAGGTTTTATATTTAGGTCTTTGATTGATCTTGAGTTAGTTTTTCTGTATGGTGAGAGATATGCATACTGTGTCATATTTTTTTCTGCAGGTGGTTATTTAGTTTTGTCAGCACCACTTTTTAAAGAGATTATATCATGCCTATTTAATGGATTTCAGCCATTTGTCAAAGATCATCTGTCCACAAGTGTTGGAGACCAAGAAAAAGACCACCAAAAAAAGGAACATGATTGTAAGGCACATGTTCTAACTACAGTTAAGAGAAGGTAAGGCCTCTCTTATGGTTGAATGCTTGCTTAGCTCCAGCTTTGTGTTCTTGGGACAGAACGTTGCCCCAGCAGAATGTTTGCTAACCAGTTTCCCTGGAATAATGTTTTGCCTTAAGAATAGTATGCCTTATAAACCATTCTTTAGAAGCATGTACCTTAACAATCATATTATGTTGTAGAATTATATATTTTAGTGATTATTTGTTAATCCTGCAAGAGATATTAACCTAATTAATTACCCATCCAATACATTGGGACATAGGAAAATGACTTTGGGTATGGGAAAGAGTAAAACTTTAACTTTTAATTAATAACTGATTGTTATAAGGAAATATTTTATTTTATTGTAGAAGAATATTTGATTGAATACTTGATTGTTTTAAAGAAATATCAAGAATAAGGATGTAATCGTATGCTTATGTATAAATAAAGCAGGACAGATACATCAGGCATCACTCTCGCAGAATACGCAAGGCATCCACCTGGCCCCCATTCCTACTAAAAAATCATTAATCCTTTTGCGTCATTTTGTTTCGTGATCTGTGGGCTTTTGCCGGATGTGACAATTGGCACCTGAACAGGGACCCACAGCTAAGTGGTGAGAGCCCAAAAGACACCCCACTTAGTGAAATGCAGCTCCATAACAAGAAGAAGGGTAAGTGTTGGTGAATTGCATTAGTTTTCTTTAAGCCAGCCTGACATGGGGATTTCAGGATCTCATGAAAGGGATCATTATATTTCTGTTCTTAAAGCTTTAGCTCAAGCTAGAGGTTTTTCAGTGTCTAAAAAGGAGTTAGAGGAATTTTTACAGCGTGTAGATCACTGTTGTCCTTGGTTTCCTTGGAAAGGAACCACTGATTTAACAGCTTGGGAGACTATTGGTTAACAAATGAATGAGCGTTTAAAAGAACATGGGCCAGAGGATTTTCCAGAGCATGTA